TCCCAATAACCCTTCGGATTCGATATTCGATTTCTATAGGTCCATCGAGCGATGATAAAATCGTCTTGATAAACAAAAAAAAAATTCGATTCGGCACGTGGTAAAATCCTCAAGTTACAAAAAATAAGCAATTTAACTTTTTTTAACTACGTCCTGTTACAGCATCCCTAATGATTGTAACAGAAGTCACGATAGGTAAGTTACCTACGGGTGGCGGAAGATGAAGATTAATTTCGGGACGCGAATTGATTTGTGATAGTGCAAAGTAGCGCAGATATATTGTGAATGATAATGACGACAGGGATAAAATGTTATCTTGATTTTTAAAGTCGTCGCTATCGAGTGATAGATGTTTGAGAAGTTATCATGGTTTTGCAAAGCGTTACGTTGGTTCGCCATCTATCACTACGATATCGTCACGCTGTGATAACGTTAGATAAAAAATTGTTTAAAAATATACTACCATTTTGTGAGCCTGAATTCCATATGCGAAACGATGAAATTAATATAGACTATAATTGGTCACGAAGCGATTAATACTCAATTATCACCCGTTATAGATTCCGATTAATAGTTTTCGATATTCTACATATAGGCGTCTTATTACATTGCTATAGAGTTGATACAAAGAATGAAAGAAAAACGGGCAATACTGGTCAAAAGTATTGGCACAGTGGGCTGCGTTCAACTAGCATTGCACTTTTGATCAGGTTCATTTAGGTAGAGACTGTAGTCAGGTATGAATATATTAAAATAAATTTTTCTGCTTGTACTAATTCGAAGGACCAGCGCCAAAGGGACCAGTGCTTGTAATTCTGTCATTGTGCATATAGACTAACAAAGAAAATTACTTCTGTTGCTTTAGTCAAACGTTACTTACTTGATTTGCATGTAACGTAGTGGAATGAATTCAATCGCACGATGTTTATTGCAGTTATGCGACGAAGTGGAGATAACAACGTTAATTTCGTTCAATCGACTTATTGATAATCGATAGAAATTCACTGAAAGCTAATAAATTTTCAAACATTTCTTTTTTTTGAATATTGCATTAATCAAAGGAAATAATTTACTATGTACAATTCGTGAGTTCATTAATAGTTTACGGAACGACCGTAATATCGCTTTAGGGCTCGTTTTATTCAAAACGTTTTTTATTAATTTCATGTAAAATCTCGGGCCACTTTGCATCAAGAGGTTGAGCATGGGTGAACCTACTACGGGAATTTATGGAGAGTCACGCGCGTGCCTTTTTTATTGGTGGAGGGTAGGAAAAGTATAAGAGACGTGAGAGAGCCAGAAGGAAAAAGAATTTAGAGGCAATGAATGAGAGAGATGAATGGCTATAGAAAAAAATTTTAAAAGAACCAAATTTGGAGGAGATGAAAAAAAAACGAAAATCAACGGAGAAAAATGAGAACCAGACACGTGATGGTTGAACGGTAAATATCTACTAAGAGAAAAGGTAAGAGGAGAAGGATATAGAAAAAGTGAGGGTAGGGGATGAGATAGGCAAGAGAAAAGAGCTACGAAAATAAACAAGAAAAGACAAACAAGGGAAATCGTACGAGGGTGTCACACCGTAAATTAGTCAGCCCACTCAGGACAGTGTTGCCAAATTTCTTCCTCGGGCTACAGTTTCGCGACATTTTTAGGGATATTAGGATTTTTTCCGCCCTTGTTTAATGTACGCATTTCAATATAATCGGATTTGAGAAACGATAAAAAAGATATTTGTCGGTATGAAGTATTTTTTGCTGTTAACGCTTAGCCTAGATTTCGATAAGAACATCATGAGTTACGTTTAATCGACAGTATTTTTCACGAGGCCGATTCTTCATTAATTCTCATGTAAAATCGGACAATGCAGAAAAATTCGAAATTGCGAAAAACAGAAATTGTGAAAAATGCCTTATCCGATGGCCATTACTCAATCGTCGGTTTGCAAATGCAACGCCGCGATTTTCACGAACCTACACACGTGCGATCGTTGCGCTGCCATTCATTCTTTTTTTTTCAGGGAGTGGGCTGTAATAAATTATTTTTCCAGTAGCTTTCGCAATTTTTTTTTACCCGTGACTCTGGAACGAGATTGATGCAGAAAAATAGCCGTGACGACTTCAGTACTAGTATTTGTGATTGTGAAAATTATATAGCTAAGTTAGTAAGTATAACAATGGCAGTGGAGGTTGGTGCGAAGAAGGGACGAGAGAAAGAAGGAAAAAATGACCAATCACGAAAACCATCCTACTTCCATGTCTGCGCCTTGCCCTTATTCCAGCCCTGTTTTTCCCCTTCGGTCCGTCCACACCAGAAGACCAATGGCAACGTTTGGAAATGGAGTAGCCGCGATAATTTCCACGGGACAAGTTGCATATTACCCTTAACGTTTTTCTTGCTGGGTTTAAGTCAGCCGCAGGTATCACAATTTATCGTGGCTTTTCGAGCTTTGAGGATTTGTGAATTTGCAAAATGATGCGGGTATATAATAACGAATTGCAGGAGAGAAAAAATGTTCAAAATTTGATTGTTTATTCTTATCAGTAAAATATATGCAATTTGAACATGTTATACTATATGCACGCCTACTGTGTGTATGATGGATCAAGACAGATAGTATCCAAATAAGATAAAATTAAAAAATAAGCTACGTCAAAATGCAATTTTTGTACGATTGAGCGACATCGAAATTGTTGGCTCACCTTTTAGGGATAAATTAATTTCTTTATTTTATATGGCACATGTGCATACCTACCGAGCAGAGCTTATTTTCTCTGTCGGTAAAGTATGATGAGATTTGATTATACCGTTGACTCAATATGACTGGACTAGGGATCGTATCAGGTTTGGTGTCACGCGAACCTGGGTGCTACGGACACCTCTAGATGGAGTGACCGACCTAAATACCAAAGTTCCAAATGCACCGTAAGATGGTGCTAGCTAGATAAAATTAAAAAACTAGCTACGAAATCGCGTATGAAAACGTCAAATATTATTTAATACAACATATCTTTCGTTATGTAAGATAGGTCAGATACGAAATTTAAATTTGAGCTATTACTTTTCCCGTCCTACCCTTTGTTCATCATAGCTCCCTCCAACTCTTCGTAAGAGTTCCGATTACGTCCAGTTACTGGCACATGTCCTCTATTGAGGACACAGCCATAAGGAAAGGAAGGAAGTTCCGATTACGGAAACGGCTATTGCAATTGGAAAAGAGAAAAGAAGGGAAAAGACAAGTCAGTCATCGAAGAAGCCTTGTCTTGGAGAAGTTTCGTCTGTATCACGTTATATTCTCAATTGTCTTTGTGTACATCATGTATGTCTACCCGTTCACAGGTCCAGTTTGTCTTCTGATACTCAATGTTCGTTCTTACAGATAGGCGATTCGCCCGATTATTTTTGCACTACGCGACTTTCCGGATACGGCCTAATTATTCGCTCGTCACGATCCAATGAACATGAGATTTCTCTAGTATAACTTTGAGATGCGGGTATTCAAATGGACTTATTCACAATTTCACGTTTCTTGAAAATAGTGGTAAGGGGTAAAGGGTATGAGGCGATGTGAAATGGACTTAAGGTCCGAGGCAGAAAAATTCAAGGAAAAGATGATGATGCAAGTAGGAAACAATTATTTCAAATATTGCAATCAACAGAAAAAAAATAAACGCAAAAGGTCAGGTTAAGCAGTGTAGAGTGCGAAATACAATCGAGCGCAACCCCCTATGAACAACGTAGGTTGGCAGATACCGAAGTACCCGCAGACTCAGTCACGCGAGGAACAGAGGGCCGTAGAGGGGAGATTCCGACCTTCAGTGGTGGACACAGAGAACCGAGAGACGAGAGTATAGACGCTTAAAAAGAAGAATTGTGTGAAAAAGTTTGGACTAAGCAATTACATATGCTCGTATCGCAGATTCAGAACATGGAAATAGGAGCCAGACTAATCGAGCCGACCGTAACGAAGACCGCGGGAGTAATGATCGAGCGAAATCGGGGGATTCTCAAGAGTTCAAAAATTATGCTTTGAACCTCTATCATTTCGCGCCACAAGCCCAAGCTAGGTCAGGACAGACGTACGGAACCATATTCGTGACCGGAAGCGAACCCGGTTAATCGTCGATCAGCGCGCAGTGTTCCCAACAGAGGGCAATTATAGAAGTTAGCAAGTGACTGGGAAGACGCCAAGTCGAGTAGGCCTAAGTGAACGCAGACTAACATGAGTATTCCCCAAGAGAGCGCAGTAAGGGATGCTGACGCCAACCTGTGACTCCCGATCGCTCAAACCGTCTTAGCATATTTACTACGGAGTTGACAGTGATATCAACATGATATCGCAAAAAAGTTATAAGCCAGTGGAAGAAATTAGGGTAACATAAAAAATGAAATAAAAAGAGAGAAAGAAGAAAGGAATAAGTGATAAGAATATACCTTGGAAGGCAGATAAGAAAAAGATGAAGAAGCGATGAACGAATTGCAAGGCTAAGAAATTTAGAGAAAAATAAAAGGAAGAAAGGACGCAGTATGAAAGAATTCGAGACACGAGATCGGTTCTCGATGCAATGGAGCTTCGTGATTCATTTCCCCGCATACCAGTCGGTACTCCCACCCATTCAAGAATGGCCAACGAATGGTGCCCTCCTACGGTAAATTCCTTAACTAAAACTTGGACGGTAAACATCAGCGAAGCTCTAGAGTTGGGACACAGGTCGGTCGGTACTTGAGTACTTGGTAATGGTCCGACTCCAGACCAACGTGTCCTCAAAAATTGAGTACAAAACAGCAGCTCGATTGTAGATACACCTTGACTACAAAGTTCATAGTTCGATATGCTCAGTTTCAAGTGAACTCAAATTGAACTCATTTTGTTGAATTTTTCACAGGAGAATACCGAGCCTCTTTATCTTCGGTCAATGTTGATACCGACTGAAATTCGTATCCATGGATCTGCGTTGTAATTTGTCTATAGCCACGGCCGGTGTGGAAATCATTATTTTAACCAGTTACCTCTCGGGCCTCATTTAAGTTAAAGTTGATAAGCTGATTTTCGCATTCGTTAAGACAATCCTTTCACTGCAGACTAGTCGAGATACACTGTATGAATTATTTAGCGGCAGATTTTTGTCTTTCTAAATTCTATTGTCGTCATTATATAATTTCAACAAATCAATGGGTTGGATCAAGGATGGGATACATATCTTAAAAAGTCCCTTATTTTTCATAAAATAGATATCAATTTACGAACGTCAACACTTTTCGTCACATTCTGTCACTAAAGGTGGTGCGCATTCGCTGTGCTTAATGCCAAATGTAAATCCGGGATTCTCGTTACAAGTTGGTATCTTTGGCATGTATTTGGGCCCTGGTCCATCACACGCTAAATTCCCAGTTTGTCTGTAGCCTAAACTGAATTTCGGTGGGCACGGTTTTACTACGCATAAATCAAATAGGCCGTATTTTGGACCAGGACCAGTTTCACAGACACCGGTAGCTCCTCTGGTACCCCTAGAACATATAAATTTATATATAATGTTCCATTTTCGTGTAGCCAAGGTTGCATGGACTGCATGGAAATGTCTATTGCTGTGGCCATCATGAATAAGCGTGTGTTTCGGATAAAATATTAACTTTTGTGGATGTTTAGCATTTTCTCGTTCAAAACAGAGCAGCAAAAAGATAATTTTTTTTGACCACAGCAAATGCATAGGGTCAAAGCTTTAAAGTTTGTTCTGTTGAATATTCTGGAGAGTTAGTTAAAAACTGTTGGCCTTACATCGAAAAAGCTGGACCTTGTCCTATAGTAGATGGTATATTATATGGTCCTGGAGTCCCACTACCTGCTCTTGGATTTGTTCGCCATTTTATGGAAAATGCAGGAGCCCTAGGTCCATGATCACGGACCATATATTTTGGTCCCGGTCCACAAAATGAACCTGAAAATCAATTGAGTATATTTTGGGTTCCTTAGTCATTTCAAAATTGGTTTTACCAAAAGTTGTAGCTGCGTAGCCAATCGAATAACCAGGTGACGTGTAAGGCCCAAAACGGTTCATGTTTACCATATATTTTGGACCGGGCCCATCGCATACGTCCACTCCTGTTTGTCTCAATCGGAAGGTGTATGCTGGATTCCGATATTTCGTTGTGTCATGACCATCGTATCCGACCAAAGTGGCCAATTTGTATTTGGGTCCAGGACCTGTAAGAGAAGTCAAATTAAAATTACAATGATTGAATAGCAACATCTAACGTTCAGTCTAATGTTATGAGTTGTCGTATAAAATTATAACTTACTCTTAAAACCGCAAACAACAGCCGGTGTTTTTTTCGGTTTAGCAGGTTTTTTATTACCCTTCTTCTCCTGTACATTTTGTTTATTATCCTTTTTTGGCGGCATTGTATAGATTATTTTCCGAAATTTAGCACAACGTCAAACAATCTGAAAATTTAATTAATGAAAAACCTACACAATCCCATGCTTATCATATCAAAAGCGAAGAATAAAATGACAAGGTAACTTTAATCTCACCATTTACGTTATCGGCTTTATTCAGCATTTATACAGACATTACGAAACCTGAAAATTTATTCTACCGCCAGTAATCACCAAAAGTTTTATGCCTCCGTTCTTTCAACAGTTTCTGTCAAAAAGAACTCCGTCCAACAAGCGACTGTCATTTTCGTTGTTTCCTACAGCTGTTTATACTCGCACGATAACAGCGTTAAACCGACCGATAAAGCAGTTATGTATTTGCAGCAGTATTTGCTGCTTCAAAAATGTTATATTTTAGGATCGAAAAATGACATCGCCATTTTTTATCAAAATACATTGCCATGGCCAATGTTGATATATCTGGCTTCTTATTAATGTATTGTCAAAACTGATTGACATATTCTATACTAGTTATCTAGATAACTAGTGATCCTTCTAACTACAATAATATTCCTTCACGTCCGGAATATAAAAACTGTTTAATAAGGGGTTCAATGGTACGTTGTCAATCAAACAAGTGACAATAGAATTCCCAGTATAAACTTTATTCGTCATATTCTGTAACGGGCGTAGTGGCACACTCGCTGTGTCTAACACCAAATGAATACATGGGAGGTTTCTTTCCTTTATAAACCTGAGGATAATACTGAGGTCCTGGACCATCACGAAAGGCCTCACGAGGCCCAACTCTTGAAGATACAGTGTATGCCGGCATTTTTTTTTTAACCAAATCACAATTAACGTTCCGATAAGCAGCTGGTCCAGGACTCGATTCGTATCGGCTTCCTGGATGTGGCCCAGAACTGTAAAACAAGACAATAAATACATGGCATTCTTATCTTAAACTAACCAATTTCCGGGTTCTATGCAAGACACTTGGCGATATTGTAAAAGCGAAACATACAAGATAATTCGAATAAACGATTCTTATTACTACGATTACAGCAAACTGTATTGGATGAATTTTATAACGATTTCATGATAATGAATTTTAAAATCCATTGAAAAATAGTTGTTGTATAAAATTTACATAGTGAAGGCTCCTTCTGCCTTCTTGTCTGGAATTTTGGGTCCTATGCAAGTTGGTACCAGATATGCGTTTGGTCCAGGTCCACTATCGGTTAACTTTCCACCGTATCGTGATTGTATGGAATATGCAGCAGGTCTGATACTGTGATTCATCGGTGGACAATGTTCGGGATTGTAGGATCCTGGACCTGGTCCTGTGTTCTGTACTGATTAAAAATATGTGGTTATACTCTTGATCTTGTATATGAAATCAGAATCTTACACTTTGACATTTCCCTATGGCCCATCGTGAAAGCTGGTGATTTCTCTATCCCAAATTTCGTTTGCTGATCTATTTTGTAACATGGGCCCGGGCCCACGCTATAGATGTTTGTATGTGTTCGAAAATTCATACTGTACGCTGGGTTTCTGTAACGGGATGGGTCGTGTCCCACGTAACCCACTAATGTTGGTAATAGATATGCTGGTCCTGGACCTGTTTAAAAAATTTATATAATCAATTTTTTATCTATCTTGGAACAGTTAAATTATGCTTTTCTCTCTTACCCCGAGTCAAGCAACTCAGTTGCCTTGGTTTATTTTCCTTATCTTCCATTCTCAAAAAGATCTACAAAACTGCACGTAAGATGCGTTAAAAAAATTACCCAGTGCAGAATACTGCACAAAAAAGGATGGGAAATTCTGATACAAATTATATATTGTGGTTAAAAAATATATCAAAATCGTGAAGTACGTAACGGAAAGGGTTCAACTGTTTTAGTATCGAATTTTGTATTATTAAAATCCATTATCTTTCAAGCTCAAGTAAGATTCCTTGTTCCTTCTGGAACGTCTGGTAACAGGGACTACTGTATCTGATAAATGTTTATGTAACTCAGTCATACAATTTTTACCAAAAAGTTTTTAACAAAATATTTTTTGCTATAACACAGTGCTTAGGTTATGTCTAAATGATACTTTTCCGTTTTTGAAACATTTCGAGATTTCACCGTTGAGCAGTAACGATGCATATAAGATATCACAATTTATAAATAAAATTATTGTCGCATGGAGATAACGAACGACGGTAGTCTTATCAAAGCGAAAAAAAGACTGTGAATAGGGCAATAAATCTATGTAAACTTGCATGGTCACAATTGAATTACAATTGGTATGAAAAACAGAAATGATAAGGGGAAATAACTGGTGCGCCAATACGAGTCGAAAAAAATGATCTTACTGATAAGCAGGTCAAACGGATTTTCGAGATTTTAGTCTTCGGCAGGCCTCTATCGGCAAATGTTCTTCAGAATGTTGGCTCGTGAGAACTTTATTTATTATTTATTATATTTTATATAGTTTTATATAGTTTTATATAGTTTATTATATTTAGATTTTAAATAATTAAGCGTGTATGATTGTGTGAGCTCAGATTAGACAGTCCCAAGGGGGAAGAAAAAACATTTTTTATGAGTTTGTGTTGATAAAAGTTTAATGTACTTAGTTCTCTATGTGATAAAAAAGTTAATATAAATTTTCAATATGGATATAGTTGATCATAAAAATTTTTACTTAATTTTTGACCTGATTTCTTTTTCGGTTTCGTATTGTTTCGTGTGCGGTGGAATTTAACTAAGTATCTAAATAATTTTTTTAATTACTTAAGTTTTTAAAACTTTTTATTCCAGAAAGTGAAAATAACAAATATCACGGGAAAATTGTGAATTTGGAAACGGCCATCGAGGTTGCAGGTATTAATATAGAATTTATAGATCACTCGTATTTTTATGAAATGTAATGATTTTGAAAAATAAACCTTTATTTAGATTTCGGAAAATATCACGCACTACTTATACTCATTTGCGGCACTTGTTTGTCTATCGGTATTTTTGAATCTTTGGGTATAAGTTTCATACTGCCTGTTGCACAATATGACCTCGATCTTGATACCTTTGACAAGGGTGTGATATCAGGATCAATTTATTTGGGTAAGGTTTAAAATAATTGACTTTCGTAAAATTTACTTCTTTTCGAATTAGAAAATATACTGTCGAAGTAATATTCAAAAATTCTTTGTAGATGCAAAATCAATCACCAGCACAAAACAAAAGTCTTTGAAGTTCAATAAGCTCAATACTACTTTGTGCAAGGTTTGATTAAAATTTAGAAGTCGGAAACAAATAAGATTAAAAAAAATATTTAAGACATTTTTGAATAACTCTTTAAGCTCATAAAAATCTGACAGATTCAAGTAATAAGACTTTTATATTTTAGTTATAGACTCTAAGAGATGAAACTTTCGTTTAACTTTTTTTTTGGATTTTCATTGTGCCACTTCACTTCCCATTATGATACAATTTTCTCGGTACGATTAGGGATGATCCTGAGCTTCCACGGCTGGGGATTTTGCGCCGACGTTTTCGGCAGGAAGCCGATCCTCTTGATAACTTTCTTCTGCACCTGGTTCTCAAGTTTCCTGTCGAGCTTAGCACCGGATTTTTTCACCTTTACGACCTTCAGATTTTTTACGGGCATCTTGTGAGTTTTAAGGCCACTTTTGGTACACCAGCTTTAACCACAGCAAAAAGAATTTACTGATTCGCTGACGGAATACGATACGAGCAGAAAATTCGTAAATTCAATATGAAATAACCGTTTTCCAGTCTCTGTGGATTGTCATCCACAGTTTATCCCTATCTCAGCGAATTCCTACCAGCCAGGAACAGGTCGTTCATTATGACTTGGACCTGCGGCTTCATCGCATTGGGCTTTCTGGTGATACCGGGTGAGTTGTGAATGAAAAAAGTACGAAAAGAAAATTTCGAGCCATGAACTTATCTCCGTGATTTTTTTTTATTGTTAGACAGATATTTCACTTTCTTTTTCATTTTTCTAGCTCTCTCATGGCTCATATTGCCTTTGGATATAAACTATGATCTTGGTTTCGTAAAGTTCAGATCGTGGCGTCTCTTAATTATTGTCATGGGACTGCCATGCCTTTTCACTGCTTTTATCTTGATGCGCTATTCGGAAAGCCCAAAGTTTTTGATGTCAAAGGGAAAGAAGGAGGAAGCTCTGCAGGTTCTACGAAGAATGTACGCAGTTAACAAAAATAAGTCCGAGGAAGATTATCCGGTGAAAGAAATGCTTTTCATTTTATTTTCGTTTATCAATTTGGGATACAAAACTTTACACTGTTAATAACCATTCGTTACGTTACAGGTGAAAGACTTGGAATTTGAGATTCAGCAGAATGAGGAAAATGACGAATTGCACAATTCTGCTGGTCAGAACTCCAATGTTGCACAATTTTTTAAATTGGTTTGGCGACAGACCGTCGCACTTTTTTTACCACCGTACCTGTTCACTACACTCTTGTTTTGCACTTTGCAATTTGGCATTTACGGCATGTGAGTGTAGGGGTGTAAGAATACTTTAATTAAAAACATAAAAGGGACAGGGTTGTTCCTTGAACTTTCGCAAGTAACACTAGTTTCTTTTTTTCAATTAAAGAAAAAAAAAGTACACCGGTAACGCAGCTCTCTGTACTTTTGTAACGACCAATGAATATTTCATTAAAAAGTCAACAAGCCTCTCAGTGTAAATTCATTGAAAGACTTAACAGAAGCCTAATGAACTTCAATTCAATCTCTTTGTGTTTCATGTTCAACAGTTCAGCTGGAATGTATCTGTGGGTACCAGATATATTGAACACCATGACCGCTATCGAGTCGACAAATAGTTACGGACTAGTTTGCGCGGCGATTCAGTCCGCAAAAAGTGCAAACTCAACGGTGACCGAATCCGTCGTTATTGGTACTATCGATACCTCAGTCTACAAGAGTACCCTCATCCTCGGAGGCTCTTATGTCTTGTCCTACACAACCATTGGCGGCCTCGTTAAATTGCTGGGTCAAAAAAAAGTGCTTGGTAAAACAAAAAGATATCAAATATCTGATCGAACTATGAATTTTTATTTTTGTCGTTTCCTTTTTCTTTATATCCATATGCTTTGTTTATCTTATTTCTTACTATTTCTTTTAACTTCACGCTATTGATCCACTATCCACCTGAGTGGAGACTCCGATAGAAACGAACTTATCGCTTTTCTGTTTTCCTTAAATTGCAGTATCAGCATTATTTGTCAGTGGATTCTCAGGCATTGGCATGTACTTCACAAGTAGCGACGTCTTCGTTAGAGTATTCATGACGCTCCTCGTCATCCTTTCAGGGACCAATATCAGCGTTCTCAGCGCTACTATTGTGGATCTGTATCCCACCAATTTAAGGTTAGCGCTAAACAATTATCGTACTTGTCATTAATACCTTAACAAAAGTCTGATTAGGATGTGATCTATTACGGCACTACAAAAAGTTAATCAGTTTTTTTTTAAAATCTAAAAATTCAAAATGTTCATAAAGCAGTTTAAAATATTGTAGGTTGAACATTTTTTTCAGACATTTGTATAAAATAAAAAATGCTAATGATTGGGGACTAATCTTTGTAACGAAATATTTAATTAATCTTATCGGTCTAATTAATACGTACCGTCTTAGGGCAATGGCCGTATCCTTGGCATTAACTAGCGGTCGCCTAGGTACTAGTGTCGTTGGGAATATCATTGGAATTCTCATCGAGCGTAATTGCACTGTCGCCATTATCGGAGTCGGAAGCGTGGTTCTTGGTGAGTATTGTCGATCATTTATTTAACTAGTCGATCGTTCCAATCGGTATGATCAAATTTCACTATTAAAAACTGACATCCACATTTCTTCTTTTCAGTATGTGGATTTTTGTGCGTATTCATACCAAATCCGAGGAACCAAGGAAAATCCGATAGTCGAAATGAAAATTGTGTAACAATGGAAGAAGTGTCAAGATCCAATTAAACAAAAAAAAATATTCAAATGAATTGGTGCAAGAATTAAAACTTCCGATTGTACGACAACAGTCTTCAGCAGCGAATTACGTGAAAGTTTTGTAATCGAAATCATTTTTCTTTACTGTGTAAATAAGAGTAAATCAAACGATGTAAAGGCGACGGTCAGTACGATAATGGGTTTGAAGAAATTCGCAATGACGATACATTTGACTGGGCGGCTGATTAAATCTATCTTGTGTTCTCCCAATGAGAATCGCTGTAGTAGATTTATGGAGCAATCAATTAGCGATACTTTACGAACGTTCTAATTAACGCTAACGAACCGTAGTCTCGTTCAACGGCAAATCATTCCCGATCCTCTAATTAACGTCACGAAACGTCATCGCACCCGTCATCTTCTACTCCACTCACCGAGCATCCCATAAATGGACCCCATTGTACCATTCAGAGTAGTCGAATCAATCAGCATCATAATCGTCCAGTAGGATCATGAACAATCGCCTTAAACTTTATCAAGTTTCACATTGACTTCCGTCTTTGAAACTTGACGTCACGATACATCGCGATTCAATTGTTTATGACCCTACTTGATTAAACATATACATAAAAAATAATAATTGATATATTTTGTTCCGTTTCCAAGAACTAATCAAGATCGGTCAATAAATATTTTCGACAATTTTATAATAAAAAAAGGTGAATAAGAGGTAAGTTTATAAGAAAACAAAAAGAAAACCGTATTTCAAAATGAATTACTAGTTCCTATTCGGATCCAGTATTTTTCGTAGATAGGTATCTCTTTGAGCTCTTACTTGAATCTCCTTTCTCTTTTACTTTTTACCTTTATCCATCCTTTCCCATATATATACGTATATATAAATACAGATATACGATGTACCAAAGAGCCTCGCGACGTGTGCCACCCGCTTAAAGCAATCTCAATTCAATTCCAAGCACGAAAGGTCCGTAGGGGATGCTAACGTGTTTCGGTTCCATTATACGTATATATCTACTGATGTGACACATAGTCACATTTAACAACGTGTACGTATGCGTAAAACTTATGGGCAATGCATATACAAATAAACAAAAATATCAATTAATTCCTCACGTTAGTCACACTCTCTGATAAGGCTAGATAAAAAATCCATATGTTGAATATACTAAGTTCACATAATGCATGCACAGTGTACCAGAAGTATCGGCTAATTCGCGATCCGCTTGGTTGATGACCCACTGATAAAAAAATACGTAGATACACCCAGACAGTACAGTATCCTGCTGAAAGTACAAGAGTAACCTACCGAAAGAAGGTTTGGTTTATCATGTCCGAAAACATATTTATAGATAACAACTTTAGGAACCCTCATTTGAGCTACGAAATACGTTTTGAGACAATGGCTGTGAAATATAATTGATCTTTTCGGTTATCGGGGTTAAAAAAATGTCAACCCTAAAAGATAACTCGAGGTTATAAATAAAAAAGAAGAGACAAAGATGACTAACGTCACACGACACAATAAAATTTCGGAACAGTAAAAGGTCAATTTGCCAAAAAATATGTATCTACGAAAATAGAAATAATCTTAAATTTTTCGAAAATAGACTGTATTAGCTCTGATACGGATGATGTAAAAAATAATTCATAACTCGCTATGAAAATCTTACGTGAATATTTGTTAGACTTCTAAGCGAATAGGTCTACTCTATCTAAATAGACGTTAGGCGATGTATCCCAATAGTTTAGATTTTTTTACTGACTGTACTGACATCTACGTTTCTCAAAGTCATAAAATTTATAATTCAAACTCGTTGCTATAGGTATAAAAAAGCACGTACACAGGTTGTATACCAGCACTGTGAATTGGTGCGTTGGCATGGGTAGATATCGTCAAAGTGGAAAGGGTGTCTTTATTAAATCGACCTAAGGGAGGAAATTTAATCATTCCTAGTAAGAGGTCGCCCGGGGTTTCAAACTTCATCGCCTTCTGTATCTTATGGCAACCAACTTGGCGGCACGTGTCACTTGGAATGTAGGTACAGCCTGTACAACTTGTCCGACCTATATCGGTTCTTCAACTTTCAACATGTTTCGCTTACCTACTCATCCATGGCTACTTTAGGTTAGGTATACGTACCTACTATGCTTATATATGCCTATCCATAGATATATGCCATAATGATGAAAGGTCTCGTGTTACAACGAAAAATGCCCCGAAGCTAGGGGAGGTCGTTAGGTTGGGAAGTTGCTAGGTCGGTACCTACAAAGTACCGGAAATTGCACATCTAAACACGCTATTCTGGGTGTGCTTGATTTTTCATCACTTCTCTTTTTATTCCTTTCAGTAGCATATACCCTTCGCCCTTTATTTCAACCCTTAAAAAATTTACTCTTACGCTTCAACTAGTCATATGCATCCATGGGAAGTCGTCTAGGGATATTTTTTTTATTGTGTATTTGAAATTTCTTCAACTACTTTCAGAAGGTTGTTTTGCATTACGAAGCTACGTTGGGATTGTATCTTGTTTAATTTGCCTTTGGGTTGCTTTTTTCCGTATTGCATTATTGTTGGCTACGATATCCAGGTCCCATTATGATGATTACAAGAGGAAACTAATGGTCGCTGTGCTTACAGTAATGACAAATAATTTGTACTCTCTTTTCTTTTATACAGTGTGCAACAAAGCTAACGAATTTCTAATACAAATTACTAAACCTCTCGACTGATTGGAATCTTGGGGTTTATTTATTTTTTCTTTTTCTTTTTTAACGCAATTTTACATCTATCGTCCATACAGGTAATGCGTTCCCAACACGACACCCTTTTTACGGTAACTTCTATAGTCGGCTGCAAAGAGACTCCACGTTATGGCCTACGAGAAGGTAACTGGAACAAGTGAAAAGTGTCGGAAATTCGTCAAGCCCCAAGGGAAAAGTCAGCGGCGACAGGATAAAAGCGACGTTTCGCAAGAAAATTCGATATAAGTTCTGAACAACAAAAAAAAAAAGATGAAAGAAAAGAAGCTAAAGAGAAAAGAGCAAAGGCAAGACATGCGACCTATCGCACGAATGAAAACTTTTCAATCAGTGGAGTGTAGGTACTACCTTGAGAGGGGCGGCACCGTCAGGGGTGTATAGAGGTCGTTCAGGGCCGTATAAATAGGGGGTTACCTTATAGAGTCGTGTGCTCGCCGTTTCCGGTGTGCGTGAGAGTTTCCGTGCAGCAAGATGGCTACGTTGAGTAGGCGTACGTATAAAGCGGAATTGAATTTAAACCCGTTCCTTCTACTACCCCAACAGCTGTACCGGTTTCATATATACTACCCCTAAGTTAAGGGCGAGAAAGGGGTTTCAGCTTTATAGTACTCCAAGGAGATTTTAGCTACTGTTGCTAGCTACTTTTACTGCTGATACTTTAGGGGTGCTGCTGGTACCTCTTAGCTTCGGGATACTGTCCGCTTAATTGAATATCCGCCCCAAGATTGAACTCACATTCAACCCCTCTCTTAGCACTAAACTTCTCTTGAATCTAGTCCTCCGAAAAATTATCGGGCACTTTCTTTTTTCAATCTTTGAAAACTTTTTCATCATGTCTTTTTGTCTCTTTTTATGTGATATATATACACCTTTCATATATTTGCCTTACTATTGTTTTAGCTGCATTAGAACTAGTACGGAAACGGTTTAGATTTTTTTCATCCTCAATAAAAACCAACTACATTTTATCTTTTTTCTCCTCGAGATTGCTTTCAAGTTTTCTAGATTGTCATCCATGCAGTACCAACCACCACCCCTATACCCTTGTCATACTTTTCGATTTTGCACTTTTTCCATTTTTATTTTTCATTTCGGATACCTCATTTGCTTCGCGTCTCCCACATTTTACACGTATTTTTTACTAGCTCTGTGTATTGATGGATTGACTTCGGAATTTTTATCTGCAGTTGCGTTATATATACTCTATATATATGTACATATATGCCATTGTACAAATAGCAATAATAAAGTTATCACATTACTTTATTCTACGACAATTTAAATTGCCATTGGAGATTCCTGTTTTAAACTGGAAATTTGATATCGCTCTAAACTGTTCCGATTGGAAATTTGAGATTTTTTGTTTGAGTCTCAGGTTTAACGTGAAAAGTCTGCTGTTTTCCAAACGCATGAAAGTGTATCGGATATTATACATATAATTTACTCGAAAATACATAGAAAATTATTGAAAATTAATTTAATTATATTTTTATTAAGCCGCAACCACTTGCCTTGTATATTTTCATATTGGCAAATTTTTTTTATTATCCCGGTGCCATTTCGTTTTACCGAAGTGGCTTTCACGTACACAATTATTTCCTTTAACACAGTAACGATTACGGATGAAACGAATTACAATTATTTCGATTAAACTTTGCATTACGATGGTATTACGATTCGTACAGTAATATCCCAGTCAAAATGACGCAATGCAAAAATGCATTGTAACTTTTTCGATTAATATAACTGTTTCCTCTGGAACGACATTTTTTAATGCGATTTTCAAAATATTTCTCCTAACGACCACATCACGCCGGCAGATAGCGCTGTCACGAGCGTAACGAAGGCCAAAGCGGTTGGCACCCCTGAATAATTGCAGAACATCACGCAGAACTCTCACACTATTGTTTGCCAACACTCGTTTAAACCAAACGGACTGAATGATACAATTTATTTATTTTTTGCCTGTTTCGCGTTGTCTTCTTTTTCCTATAGAAGCGCAAACACGTGCTCGTTGTCTTTCATTTACTTTTATTTATTTTTTTCATTTCATGTAAAAAACTGTTTGAATATACTGAAACCGGTACGCCGATGCACTCTGCATTATTGGACGATTCTTCAAATACTTACGGAAAACCGAAAGCGCTGTGCAAATAACTGAATACGCGGAGTGGAGTGTAAAGGGAAAGAGGCAATGAAATTAAATGCATGACGAGCACGAAAGAATTGCTTTAAAATTGCAAAGCAAGGGAAAAAAGAATAATACCATTTTTGAAAATATTGCCTATTTTTCGAATTCGAGTGTGCCAATATTTTTAGCGATTTTTCAAGAGGCTATTTATTTGGGTCTTCTACATTTTTGGGGGATTTTTTAAAATTCTATTGTTATTCCAAGAGTTACGAAAATGGTCGACAAGTGCCCGATGCACCGTCCGTATCAGCGGTACAAACTGACCGTGAAATGAGTCTACTACCCGTCCACCTAAACCTTCTACCTTCTAACCTTTTCTACTTAATTTACCGACCGACCTCCAATTTTCCCTCCTTTCTTTCTTGTTTTTTATCGGCCCATTTTGTATTTTCCACTTGAGCGCAAATACAATTTCTGGTATCGTGTGCCAAAGTCAATATTTCGATGCATTAATGCATTTTGTTTTGTGAGTTTAGCCAAAAAAAATTATTTATTCTTTCGATATCGTGATGTGTATTAGTGTATTTATTTAATGAAACATTTTTATTAGTCAATAATTTTGCTTAATAATAATTATTACAAATAATAACAGTGCATCTAAAGCAGCTGAATGGAGCTGCAGTAAATGATTATATATATATATATATATTACTTATTACATAGGACTGATTAAACTATCTGCAAAGTTGAATCACTGGTGTGTTTCCATAATTTCACGAGAATTGGGAGATCTTGCGAATTTCCCATTTACTCGCTAATGGGCAAATACTCAATAAACGGAGTCAGACATATATACTATTTCAAACAACCGAGTGGAACAATAGTCGAGAAATAATATTTGAATAATTCCTTCACTTTACAAAAAGATGTTTCTCGTTCACGTAATATTCAAGACAAACTATCGTTGAGTGTCCATCTTCAATTTCCCCTTATCGTCTTTTTTCTTTTAGTTGAACGCAAAAAAAAAAACAACGTGAGAATATACCGTGAACATCTTTTCCTGATAAAAATAAATATCTAGCTGGCAACTCCAGCTGGGCTGGATTTATCGCAAATCGAAATATCCCCTGGTAATACGGTAGGTATGCTTGCCTCTACCAGATTCTGTTTAATAGGTCCAGACTCCTTTGTGTCGATAGATTTTGTATTAAGATTCTGTCGATCTTGAGATATGATAGATCGTTGAAGAATCGGGTTTTTCAACAAAAATTTTTAATCTTACAAACACACTTTTATCTCACGAAACTTCGCATTACGCCCATAAATTCAAGTTTGAGAAAAGATTTGACAAGGAGTACTTTAGGAAAGTTTTTACCAAGCTTACAAATTATTAAATATTTCAAAAAATTTAATTTTAGACCAATGAGCTTCTTTGAGCTCTTTTACTTGGAACTATCATTTACGCGTTTTGGTCCTCTTCCTAGTTTTCATTTCATCCGTAGGAAGTAAAGGATTCGAAAGATTTTTTGGCACAGTAAGGGATGACCTTTGACCCCATCACTGTGTAGTCCATGAAAAAAGTAACTTTGCTCTTGGGGAGGCGAAAAATGCCCGGAAGTGAGCTGGTGGCACGTTTAAAGTACCGTCACGGTGACTTTTTAAGACTACATAAAAAACAACTCCAAGCTTAGTAAAGCTTAGTCCAACCTGTAAAATTCACGTAACTGATAAGCCACCTTGACACAGAGGACGGAAGGAACTTCCTGCCTTGTTTCTTCATAATACTGGGGTCAAAGTTCACTAGGCACTTTTTATTTTGTTTTCGTTGATTCACCTATGACAATTTTATATTATTAGAAAGTTTTTGGTCTGCATAAGAAAATATCAAAATTATTCATTAAAATCCTTTTTCTTGATCTATAACACAATTTGAGGTAACAATTTAAAAGAATAAAAATTATTTTTTTGATTGTTATACAATTTTTCGAATTTAATTTTCTTACTTCGAAAACTTTTATATCCTCTTACAAAGAAAAGTTGAGAAAATCAAGTGTCATATGTAACAGCAATGTTTTAAAAACTTTCGTTATGTAGCAAACGCCAAAATGTGCACTTGGAGAACGCTTGAAAATATAGGGGTAATTTCGAATACAGGCGTTTTATCCTGAATAGAGTGGCTAACCACCGTGCAGTAACTAGATACTTGGCAAGATCATTATAATCTCTCATAATAATAATAGGAGGGTGACTTTTAGGAGTATACTTGAAAAAGTGGTGTATAGGGGATGAAATATATCTGTAAGTATGTACCACATCACGGATTACCATGAAATCATGAAAATTAGCGCAACACTAAAAAATAGATAAGATTATCAAATACTATAAAACTACCTTTAACTTTATCTTTGAATATCATCTCAAACAAAATATGAATATAAACAATATTATTTTTCTACACTGTCGTGTGCATAATGAAATTTTGCATTGATTTTTTATATACAGGGTTATTCACGGCAAACGTACCAGCTGAAGTTGGACGCGATTCTATCGAAGCAGTGTGTCCTTGTTAAGCAAATGAAAGATTCTGAAGCCCATGATGTTAGTAATATGATGATAACTTCCATTTCTTTAATGACGTCACACTGTTCTGATTGATGAAATCACCCATTTGATGTCAACTTCAGCTGGTGCATTTGCCGTGAATAATCTTGTATATCACAATGTGTGTTATTGTTGTTGGACAAATAAGCTAATTTCTGAAAGAAATGATAGGGGAACTTGGTGCAGAGTGTCGGGTGACGGGGGTTGGACTCCTTCCAGTTAAAGGGTCCGAAAAGTGGCGTACCACTTCCGGCGAGTAATGGCTCACGATTCCTTCACAGACCACGGTTATTTATCAAAGGCGTCCATATTGCGAGTTTTTTGTGAGCTTCAGAGAAAATTGATTTCTGACATCAAAAAGCCTTTTCTGCTATCTGCTACACTCTTAGTAGCAAATCAGTCGAAGAGCACCTGGTTATTCCTATACAATGTACATAATATTATATAATTAATTCTCCTATTAGAAATACACGAAATGTATAATACTTCGTATTCGATGGTAATCAAGGATGTCGATATGCGAGCTCAGAATCTTTACCACCGGATATGACGAAGTTTTAGCCTACCTGGCCTTGGGAACAAATTATCGAATGCCTTGACCTGACCTCAGTCGAAGGCCCAGTCCTGCACCCACGGAATTCGAAAGTGGCCGCAGACCATCTCGCAAAGGTCTCTTCCGACATCAACCAGACCGCAGAGGTCCACACGCACCCCAACAATATTTCGCATCCATCGCTCTCATGAACCATTCACCCCTGGTGGCTCCCATGAATCCACACGTCCACGTCTTCCGGAATAGAAGAACGGATAAGACCTCACCATCCGACCTACATCCGCACCAAGAGAGAGAACCAAACGCACCGATTTCTCCCCTTTTCGGCGTATCATTAATTAAGGTTCTCATCTAGGTTCCCACGGGGCACAACAGTTACAATACCAGAATAACAAATTGGTAAGGTTAGTGAACTGGAGAAAGAAAGATATGTATATTTAATATTTGCTCTGTTGGTAACACACTGTACATTCTATATAATACAACATAGAATCATTCGTTATTTATGGGCCCACTTGAATTATTTCTGCATTAATTTATAAAATTTTTCAAATTAATTCTTTGCTATTTTTTTGAAAACGAAATAATAATTGTAATTAAGAGACACGCTCGAATCCTGGCATTAAGATTTTGCAAGTATAAGAACAGATTGATCATTGGCTGATCTATATGCTTGTGAATAGACAAATTATAACATGTAAATTGATAAGCTCGGCACGACCCGCTGGCTTGTAAGCTCGTGCAGTTGCGTGTGTACGTGCAAGTCGCATGTGCAAAGCTTCTGGGCAGCATACAGTTCACTCACCCTTCGCTTATTATATCTACAGCGTGTTGCAACATGACGACGCCTCGTACTAGGATCCATTAATTCCATTCATGGTCAAACTTTCATCTATGGTCCTGACACTTGAGATCGGATATCCTGTTTCTCATTATGCTACTGCGTTGCATATGCAATGTTTCCAACCGTATCTCAATTTGATATTAATGAGCTCATTTGACATTTATTATATCTGGAACTAATTTAATTAATTACTCAAACAGTGACAGTATCCTACTCACAACAATAATATCACTTGCAAATTACCGAATGTAATTATTTAAATTTGTATTGTAAATTAATAATATCAATAACGGACAATTTCACGTTTGAATTTCATAAAATTTATGTAATATCATTGTTATTTTCTCTCATAATTATTGTCATTTTAGTGCCGTTAAATAATAGTCTTTTAATTTTAAGGGTTCTCCAAAACGTTACCTGGATATATACATATATTACGTATATGTGTATATGGATTTGCTCGGTAGTTATGCTAGGTAACGACCTCTACGTGGTGAATTGGCCGAGTGCAGAGTCGTGTTGCGGTCGCATACAGGAACAAGACGAAAGGACTCTTGGATTTCATGGAATTTATAAATTCGAAACGTTATTCGTTCGAATGTCACGGATTATGTGTGGCTTTAAATCATTCGTTGTAAAAGAATGTAAATGTAAAATTATGAAATTTGAAAAGGCTTGCTTGTGATGCCGACGACAAAAAAAGGATGTTAATTTCCAATAAAGCAATCGTTCAAATATTACGCTGAAACAAAGTCCTATATTAAAATTCTTAAGAAAAGTTAGCTTCAATAAATCGTACAGACAGTAAAAATATTGCTATTTTTCAAAATTTTATTTTCTCCGCAATCTCTTATTAGCCATAGACTTGTGAATCTTATTGCCGTCTTGAACTTTTAGTGATCATTAAACATTTACTTACTACCACTCGCTTGTGTTAACCCTTCGAGTACGGATGACACGCTGAGCGCGACATTTTGATATATTCGAAATTTAAAAAAACAAGACTTAATGTGTATCAATAACACATAAATTTTTACTATAGACCATATTTTAATATCTAATATTTTTAAAGTCATGGTACTTCAAAAATTATAATTGCATATAAAGTTTATACGCCGCGCGCGCCAAGGTCCATATAGTCGCTTGCGGCGAGAGGCCTCATATTTGAAGGGTTAAAGTTCACTACGAAATAACCTCGCGGATATACTTGACACTTATAATTTTGCCTAATCAATATCTGCTATATGCTCCACATGTATACTATATGGACAGCAGTGACACTACTACTTGGAATAGTCTCATCAGTTCATCACCAACTACCACCTTCAGACTTATATATCTATAGTAATTAATCCGATAGGATTCATGCGACGGGTATTCAAAGCAATTCTGGCTCAGACCTACCAACCTCCTTCTTGGTCTAGTCTGGCCTAGTTTGATCTCTACCCCACCACCAATGTTACTCTGGGCTCGCTGTGTTCTCCGCATTGCTGTGTATCTCCAGGTGTTCAACCGAGTCAGATACGTCTTGAGAAAGGATAACTCTTCCCATATAACCATTGTAGAAGACAATGTAAAATGTCAATGATCCAATTCAACCATCAGCTTCAAGAGTTTCATTTAACACAGGCGTCTGGCGAGAATCAAAAGTTTCAGTTGTCTTGTTTCAGTAAAGCTTCACTGAAGTCCACACTGGGTACCTGATGGAGTTTATTAATTCTAACATAGTTACCTGAGACAATAGGATGTCATGTTTCTTTAAGTGTATAAGTTGCTGTTTATTTTTCGAGATTATTTTCTTTTTCTCTTTTGTGGCCTCCGCTGGGATGTTTAGCTTCGTTAGGACTAATGTGAAAATGTGCTATTTACAATGAGTGTCAACGATGCTGTTTAATGAATGCACAACAGTGTCCAATGGCCTAATCGAACGTGACCTATTTACTACTTCCATTTGCTGTGGAAATACTCCTATTGCTGACTACTGTTATCGGAGATAGAAAGTGTCAATAAGTAGCATTCAATAATATTCCTATGGTTTCCATTATATATATTATCGATTCATTTTATTCGTTATTCATGCATGTATCCTTTATACGGGTTTCAGTTTCATGCTACTCATTACTTGATAGCACTTAAAGTGATATTGTTTTGATTTGATTGTTTCGCTCGAAACAAAGAAACTCATAAGGTAAAACGGAATTCGGCTTTGAGGGTGGGAAATTCAATAGGTGGTAATCTTACGAATACCATGACTTAAGTATATTCAAGAAATCTTTCAGTGATAAGCAATCGCAAGGGTGAAAAACAAATTCCATAGACCTGATAAGGTGATGAGTTTCAAGAATTTTCATACTATTTTTCTATCGCCCTTGTATTTTGTATTAACTTCATGGTGATCGTCTTTTTTTTAATTTTCGAAATACTGATTATCGAAAAACTGAAATATTTCAGGTGGTATTGTGAGAACTGTGCTTCTCTTGCTGGTTCTTAACCTACCCTTAATGGTGGTGGTGGAATCTTTTCTGTGTGTGTATATCCACCCTCTTCGTACCGTCAGCCATTTTAAATGGTACTGAACTCCCAGGGAAACTATTGTTTCCTATTGATTCTCCAACCACGGTTGACCTCGTTATTCTGTATCTGCTCATTGCTAGTATTACAAGCTGAAGTCGAAGTTTCCTCTTCTCACTCCTATTAACAAGAATTCATAGATTTTATTATTATACTGTATCGATTACATTTCGATGAACCACCGCCACTTGAGTTAATTCAAGGACTTGACTCATTTGGATCACGCCCTATCATTAAGATTCTGTTCACCAATCCCTTTGGAAACTACCCCTAGATATCCCAAGCGTCTAGGTAAATTGGCTGAGTTTCCAAAATTGCCGACTGCCAGTTCCCAGTAGCGTAGGGATTTTCAAAATTGAATTTTGTTACTGTCATTTGGGTCGAATTAATTGATTCACCAGATTCCACCCCTCCTCCCAAATAATGTCAGATGCAATATCAACGTGTCTCATATTCCTCTATGCTTTTATTAAATTTTCCGAAATTATCTAATTTCCAATATTTACATTAAATAGAAGAAACAACAACGTCTTACGATGTCACGTTAATATTCCAAAAAGAGATATGTATCCCAACGGCAAAAAATTCCATAGATTCCTTAGAATATCTCAAATCCAGTAATTCTGCTAGTGAAACTATCGGATAAACTTAAAAGCGACGCCTTCATGCCTTCATATCGTTAATATTTAAGTAATTATGCGCCTCAGCGACTTGATTGTTTGCCCTCCTTATCGTTCGCGCAAGCGACTATCGCCTAACACAATGCTTTATAAATGGACAAAGTTCCGCTAGTTAAACCGTGTTTAATTTCACTCGGCATTCCTCGCACCTCTGGGAAAATCTTAATATATTCGCGGTCGCGTCGCTCGATAAGAACGTTTCTCGAAGTTTATTGGTTTTTCGTCGAAAAAAAACAAAAACCCTGAAATCATAATGCGACTTTGTATGCGTAACGCATTCTCCTGAGAATAAAATTCTAATCGCTCTAAAGATCATGACTTAAGATTTCAAAAAATACGATCGTATATGCTATATCTATATAGGGCTTGCAAATTATTTTCTTTGACTTTGCACCTAATACCGACCCGTTTTAATTCATCAGACTAAACAAATTTTTTGAATTCAATTCTATTGAAAAATGTGACGCCGCGTTCGAAAAGTTTTCGAGTCATTCGGTAAAGCTCAATAAACGTCGCGACGTAGCGGTATGTCATTATAACCGCGCCTCATTAAAATGCTCCTCCTTGTGTCCTTTGCGCCGCTTTGTTCTATCATATTTATCTCATATTTCTTCATTTCTACTTCTATATCTATATCTAGCACGTGCCAGGTACTTCACAAATAATAAAGTTTTAATCTACCACGAGAACTCAGTGATAAGTTAAATAAAAAAAATGTTATAACGTCGTTTTAAATAGAAGCAAATATGCATGAGTTATTTTTAATTATGACAAAAGGTGGTATGTTAATTAATATTAAATCATAATGGAGATTTTTAACTCTTAACAATTGGTTTTCATTTTAATTAGACGTCCGGTCGTTTTCTTATTTTAAAAAAATACGTACGCTTGTAATCCACGTTTTTAATGTCATATTGTCATATATTTCATTGAAAGACCAATATTCACAATTACATCCTACATTCAATTTGAAATTGTTTGAATAATTTTATATTATAAACATCAATAATTAAAATAACTTTTATTTATTTTAGATATACGTTTAAATAATAAAATATAAAACAGCAATAAAAGTTATTGTCATAAATATAATAAGTCTTGCTAAATATTTTGTAATAATTATATAACTATACGCATAGCCACGCAGAACTACAGGGGTGTATTACGCAATTAGAATCATAACAACGAAATTTCAATTTTTGAACAAATCACTAAAGCAATAATATTGAAATACACATTGAATTTCACATTCGCACATATTGAATATAAATTTTCAAGTTCCATGAGTATCGACGAATGCAAGTCTATCAATGCACTTTTCCATTCTACCACTCTCGGCACGAGAGGATTAGCGGTATGACCCTGTATGCAATTCTATTTGTCTATCTTTTGATTTTTCAAAATTCCATAAATTCGTCAATTCAATACATTTTAAAAATAACATTAAATTATTTGTACGTGATTAATCTTAATCAAATTTAAATGATTGGTGATTTGCACATTTCATCATCAAAATGTACTGATAATATGTATCCTTGATCTATCATGACCATCTGACTTTTATTAAATTTTATTAATTTACACTCTATATCGTATCAATTTTGCAATTGGCTTCGACGTTGATATACATATTTGGCGATTAAATTCAATGTATTACTGAAGTATATTAAATATTACATATTATTTCATGATTATTAGCAAAAATGATTCTACGTAAATTTGATATTTATTTCTCGAATAAAATCTGGCGGGTTTACCCAATTTACATATTTATATCTATTTCTGACACACGATTTTCTTTGTTAATCGACAATAGCATCTTTCAATTTATTCAAAACCTACGCTTTGTGAAAGTGTAGAAATATTAAAAAAAAACATCTCAATTAATTTTAAGACAGACAAGACACAAGAAATTTACATTTAATTACAATATTATATTTTTGGGGTTAACAGGGGATTAAACCTGCCCTTGACGTGGCTAATGAATTATCTTTGGTAATTACCGTGTTTTTTCTTCACTGGTCTTCATTAAAAAAATTTACCCTGTATCTGTCAGTGGAAATGTTACTTCACAGTCAGACGGTACTATTTAAATAGATAAATTTCCATTTATCAAGTAAACTGAATATTTTGAGATATGGATATAGTGTTTTATGAGCCATAGGAAAGCAATGTAACAGAAGCATAGTGCAAGGGTAGCAATTCAAAAAAAGTATATACATATGTCATGTTCAGTCTGTTATCATCATACCATATCTGCATCGCGCTAAAAGTATCTTTAATATTACACAAAAATATTTGTGTTCTTTGTTTCTAATTTTTTTTTGGATTTTTCACCTCCCATCAAGATTCTTGGAGAAAAGGGCAAATGGCGTATCTGTCAGAAGCGGCATAAACTTTAACAAATCGTCGTGGCTGTGGGACTTCCCTCCGTCCACGTAAAAAAGGGCTACAGGAGGGATGAATGGGCGTAGGTACTATTGACAATGAGTAATGCTGAACAGTCTCGAAGGGTGGTGGAGTTACCCGCTTCTGGTCTTTCTAAAAGGGGATGAAACGATATTAATGATAAGAATGGCGAAACTGTTATGTTTTGTTCGAATATTTTGAACCCCCTTTTCACGACACTGTAGGACGCAAATATATATATATATATTTTCATGTCTACTCTGTTATGTTGATTTTGATCAAACGATCTGCTTATTGGTCTTAAATTACCTATTCCAATTCACTCTTTGAGTACTTCTATATTTTGTAAGGATCGATTGGATAATAAAATAATAATTTGATACGAGATGAGAAAAAACTATGAATATTTTTTTCAATTCGATGAATTATCTTTGATAATTTTTGCTGTGTTACCAATTCGGTCAGAATTCGCGTATCGCGCGAGGTAGTTCTCAAAGTGAGAAGCCATTTTTCACGTGTCTGGTGTGACAATTTATTCGAGTATTTACCGTTCTTGACAGTTTCATTTCATGTAAAAGTGCCGTGAGCTTGTACAAGCCTTGAAGAATAGATGACAAGAACGGTAATGAAAAAAAAAGATACACAAAAAAAAATCTAAAATGAATTAGAAAATTCAGTGAAAATGAAATTCAAAAAATCGTAAAATAATAATCCTGTAACGACCATCCACGATAATATTTCTGGTTTCAATTTCGAACATGAAAACCGTAATAACTTTGCACGTGGAGCTTAATGAAATTTTAATGAAACCCACCGATTCCTAACTAGTAGCGTCACCTATGTTACATAGAAATATACGTATAATCTAGGTACTACAGGTACCACCAGGTCTTCACAGTGCAAGGTTAGCAAAGAGTCGCAATAGTAGCAGTGTTAGTAACAGTACCAGTAATGGTGGTACTAATTAACGAGAAAATGTAGAAAATCCGAACAGGAACAGGTTTTGCAAGTATGCGTAGAGTGGGAACAAGTGCAGCTGTAAGTGCAAGTGCATGTGGTATTAAAAGCTCATTGGAGTGTATAGAGGTTGGTGGACTTCGAATTCTGATTCTACCATTCAGGACTGTACCAACTGAGGAATAAAAAAGTGTCTCGCGATTGTGGGTGTGAGCCACATCTGAGACGATGAAACGTCCGAGGTATACCATAGCAGGAGTAGAGAAGGAGAGTGCAGTTCTACTAGGTGTGAGTCAGTCGCGTAAAAATCCTGAGAAAAATCCAATAAGCGTCGTGAAAACTCTCCAGGCTAGAGAGGTTGCGAAATCCCACGAGTTCGTAAGAAGTTGCAATTCAACTGGCAATTAAAGTGAATCACATTGGGGATGGATGTATCTTATAACTTTTCATTACCAAATTCAGCCCTCATTCAAATAGGCTTACAGGTACTTAAACATAACCCACCCTCGTTCATATATGTACTGTAACATAATTCTTTTCCTTGACCCGACACCGATAGCAAAACATACGAGAACGACTATCTTCGAGAAGCAACCTACGTTACCTTCGGCCGTCCACCCGTCGTTCGTGCATCCGCAAGCCAGGCGGGCGCCAGCCGATTTTTTTTTCACCGGGAACTGACGAGCCGGTATAAACTGGGAGTTGGGGTGGAACAGGCCCAACTCCACCAAGAACGAGAGCTCTGACGGAACCTATCGGACGAGGCGATAGCTTAACGGATCCTGTCGATTTTTGGGGACGCGTAAAATCGAGAAACGCAACCGTAAGTGCTGATCTTTAGGGGAGCGTAAAATCAGCAAACGCAACTGGATACACGAACGGAAGCGGACGGTTACGGAAATGCACGGCCGCTCAGGCTGCTAGGTTCGAGGTAGAGAGGGTCGGAGTAAGAGTCCGGCAAATAGTGCGAGAGACAGAGAGCGACGAACCGAGAACGTATCAGAACGGATCTTAATTGTCTATGGAGATCCCTTCACCAATTAATAAATTGGGAATCCTCACCGGAGCTGGTGCAGCTAATCCGTGGAGGCCGAGAACTGTATCCAAAGAACACTCTTGTGACCACTGCACTAAGGCACAGCACTACACCTCTGGAACACTCGCAGGAATTCATAGAATTGCCTGGATATCGCGAGAACCACGCGAGAACTGTACGAGTCGAGAACTTGCTATACCATAGCGAAACACGGCAAGAAAAACTATTAACAGATAGCACGGGAGCACCAGCCACCCCGTGACACCTCGGTCGGTGCCCCGAGACAGACTACTTTGACAATAGCCAAATCCGAGAACTAATCATTCTGATTGGTTAAGAGCCTTATGACCGATAGCTCTTCTATCTCCTTCGAATCGTCCCTTTAAATCAAATCAAAAGCGTTCCTTAACGAATCGGTACGTATCTTCTGGAGATCCTCCAAGGCCACTTCCCCAGGGCATCGGGCGACAGCTGGGCACGACATCCTTAACTCGGGCAGGAGGTACCTCTCCTGCCCTTAATCGTATCAAAACTACCTCCGCCCGCTCTACAGCCCTTTGCCCATCTCCAGCGGGGCGCCGGTATCTCACCCGGGCTTCTGCCGGTCCGTGGAGACGTCTCCGTCGGGTACTCTCCTCTGCCGGGCAACTCGGTACGTCGAGACTATCTCCCCACGGCAGATTCGAGCACCTCGACCTCAACTAAACAATAACGAAATCTTACGAGAGCTTTGACATAACTGTACGAATCAACCCGAGAGCATAGCTTCTCAGCAGGGTGGCGACCCGAAGGGAACCAGAAATCGAGAACGTTATCTGTATTGGTAACCGGAGCCGCCTTGGGACCGTGATTCGAAAAATCACGTCACAGTACGGAGCTATTCAGAACTGTTGCACAGTGAAGTTAGTTTCACCGTATAAATAAAACGCACAAACTGTGGCTAGCACAATAGTCATGAATAATCCTGTATACATACTAGGGATACCGTGATATCATAACAAACTTGACTTATTCTCCCAATTAACACGTAATCCCTAGCATATCTTTATAGCGTCATCCGTAACATAAATGGTATTTATAATTCCTAAATAAATTTCTAACCTCGTTTTGAATGACACGCGATAAGTTACACATAAAAAAATAATAAAGACTGCTATTATTTCTGTCAGGAAGTTCGAGCTGTTTAATAAGATAAATAGAAATATAAGTCTTCAAGAGATATCGTTGTAAAAGAAGCATCTGTCTAGCAGGCGCCGTAGAACGAAATGCAGAATCGGTCGTTTTTAATTAAAAGAATATATCAAGCTGTCCAACCGCAATGACAAAAAGGTCTTTGTAAATAACGTAAGAGTAAAGGATCCAGACGCAAATGTATTACTTACGGTCATAGTATCGTCATCTGGGATAACAGCATAGCGTTTCACGTAGTACATTGGTTACGGGATACTTAACAGTTTAGCTCAGAACGACGCTTTGATATACACGACAATCCGTACTCTTCCTAGCGAATGCATCTCTATCCGTTCTAGCCAACGAACAACCCAACCTAACCGGTACGTAGTCTGAACGCGCCTGCGCGGCGATAACCTGACTTACTAGATGCTTTCAGTTGTACCCAACAGTCCCTTCGCGAACGCCGAGTCGCAAGCATCGTTTTTATCTCAGTTTGCGAACGGTTAACGCAACGATTTCGGAACTTTGCTACTTGACTCACTAAACGTATATTTTGTCAAAACTTTATTTTGCAGTAGAAGAGCAGTAAGACACAAGTTTTCTTTGGAATAACGTGCACATTTTTTGACTTTTAGGCTATTGGGTTTTTGGACTTTTCTTATATTATTTACAGGCCTGTATACACGTATCAACTTTATCTGTGAGTAGTTCGGGTGTTCATATAGTTTTTCGAGAGTGAATACTAACTGGGGAATCTTTATAATTAACGTGGCGGTAAGGTTTGTCCTGATTCGACACGAAAATAGCTTTTCTTAATACGGATTTTGTGAATGGATTATTTGTGTAGATTTTACTGTAAATGAGGAGATTCCACTTTGTCGCACAATATTAAGTATCATCTTGTTATTACAACTGTACTTAGTGCTTTGATATATTCAGTGACTCTAAAGTATTTAGTAGACGTTGAATATCAGAATGTCTGACGTGGATAGTTAACGGGTATACCCAAGTTATTTGAAATTAATTGAAAGCGTTCAATATTGAACATACAATTTGAATTACGAATTATCCTGCAGGATGATGTCGTGACTATGAATGGAAACACTGGAACAGGCGAGGCCAGACTGGCCAATCACCAAACGAAGTTTCTGCTTCTGTTTGTCTTGGCACAATTTTTGATTCAGCTCGGCGGTTTTATTTATCTTTATTCTTACGTGGGACGAATCGAATCTAATGTACGGGTGGCCGGAAGTGCAAGTGCTTGTGGCAAGTATCCGGAGGTCGAAGGAGTTGTACGGCAGAAGCGTAGCAGTTCACTTCCGGCAGCGGAGGATAATGCTGTTCTCGAAGTTCTCAGGGTAAGATTCAAACACAAGGGTAGTCTCCACAAGATAAATATTCAATGAGAAAATGGATTTTTGATATATAAAAGTCTTACGACCTCTAAAGTCTTCTATCTTAGCAGGAATAATTCTCAATAATTAAAGTAACGTTGCCTCGTGAGATTGTTGTACCTCCACTTTAAAAATTATATTTTTGCTGTTTGGCATTTCCTTTTTTCTCATTGAATTTTCTATTTATCGTTACATTGCGATATTTTCAATATATACATGTTTTGTTAAAACTGGGTTTTTTTATTCGCTTACATCTTACAATTAAAGTAAGAACTGTGGTACCCAAAATGGTTGTCAATCGGAAGTATTAAATGATCCACAAATTCCACGCGTGCCTGTTTAAATGGGATTCAGCGGTACCGCATAGAAACTTGATTTATTTTTGCACTGTTAGTATTTTGAGTGCTATTCATCGATCATGATTGGCTAACAAGTGCAATTCACTTACACCCCATTTTTCTATTTCCAACGCGTTTAAAATCGTTAGTCACATCGACTAATGGAGATTTCCAGATATTAACGGCAAAATAATTAAATGATCGTTCAACCAAACTTGTACCGAAAGAAACAATAATAGTAAAAAGAATTCTTTTCATTCTCCAAGTATCTATCCAAGGTATATATTGCTATATATAAAGTCGATGTCATTATTGATACCAACAAGTAAATAACCATACAAGCCAAATATTCGAGTTTAAACCAATTTGCAAAATTTTGCACGTTATTTTATACGTTATAAAAAGTAACATTATTTGCCAAAAAAACTGCGTTTTTCGCACCGCACCAACAAAATATCCGTTATGCAGATTTAACCTGCAAATAAACCAGTTTATATGTGAATATAGCATATATGTGGTATAATTATGTGTCTATCACTGAGACAAAAAGTTTGGTAAAACCAACTGCTCAGATGTAGCCGAGCGAAGCTTCACTCTTTCCTGTGAATTGAAATTCTAACAGATATAGCAAAGTTAATTTACCGAAATAAATCTGCAGTTACTTTAACTTAATATAGTAGCGACAAACCTTGTCTTAATGGGTTCGTGTGACTACACTATATGTAATTTACTTTTCCATATTTTTTTTACTCGGCTGTACTTAAATGAGCTACGTATACTGTTCACTACCTGAAACCACAGGACTGAATTGAATTGATTAAATTCCTTTATAATTTGATCAAACTTCTTTCTCAGAGTCTACATATACTTACACTTACCAATTTTCTATGAGCCTGGAAGCGGTGATTGTATCTTAAAACACTTTATCACGATAATGACCTCGGAAATTAAAGGACTTGCCGGGAGAGTACATAAACAAAAAAGTGAAAACTCAACTCCATAAATTATCGGAGGACTGGCACGCTCTTTCTTTTGGTTCATATCAACTTTTATATTGTCACGAATTTCAAAATGTTTTTTTTTTTTACATAACATAATACCCAGCTCATGGCTGAATACTGCCAACTCGCAAGCTATGTAGCAGTTGCGTAAAAGCCTAGAAACGAATTTTAATTTGCAGGTTGCGACAATGCAAATAATCACGTACGAATGCATATGTGCAAATTTATATCGCGATATATTGAATTAGTCTATAGTATTATGAATTGCGCACGGAAAGTACTTTGAATATATTCTTTAATAAATAATTGCGCGGTCTAATTAACGATAAATACAGGTGTATCGGTCATTAATTTAACGACTATGGACTAAATACCCATTATTCACCTGAGGTCTCTTATTGGTCTGTACTTACGGTTACCAATTTAGATCTCACATAGACCCTGAGAAAACTATAAAGTGTGCTTGTCGTTATTGTTAAAATTTTCATTTGTCATTTCTATGACAAAAACGAAAATTCGGTATACACGGTTGACGGTTGAATAGAGTATTGTAAAATTTTATACCCGCACAAGTTGTTCCCCTTCCCCTGCGTACGAGGCCTCATTTACACGAGTCGTAGCTCATCGTAGAATCAACTTTATTTGCAAAGAGCGTCGTGTCTGCGTCCCTTGGATCTCCATTCGTATCTTTTTTCGCTTCTTCGGGTCCAACGCAAAACTTGTCCCCCACTGTTTTCGCTCTTTTCTCCGAGTTTCCCACACTTTCCCGTGTTTCCCTACACAGTTCTCAGCTCTTCAGGCTTTATCGCGCGCCTTCCGAGTATTTACCCAGTGACGTGGGGTGTCACGAGAAATGCAGCTTCCGACTAGTTTTCGTTTACATTTTTGTCTGATTTTTTTATTACCTGTTTTTTTCTACCCCTATGTTTTTTCATGCGCTCCAGTTACGCTTTTTGAACTGGTCCGTTATACTTGTTTTATTTAAGAATTTTTCGGTGGGTGGTTCCTTTGTCTCGTGTTTATTGTCTTTATCTCTTATTGTTTGCTTCACTTTGTTGCAGATTCGAGAGGACAAGGAACTCTCGAAGAACTCGAAGAAGATGATGATCATGACTACGTCGGTTCCCGGCGAAGACGCGTCGACTCCTGGTTCTCAAGACTGGGTATGGTTGACGGGTGACACTCGTATTCCTGTGAGTCAAGGATTTTTCCTTTCTTTCAATACTTCGATATAATTATTACTATTCACATTGGTTATCTTTTCGTGTCAATCTTTATAGAGATTATTTTTTGCAATTTATTTATTTGTATTATCTACTTTACTTACTTTATCAAATTGTATTCGCTCTTCAATATTTGAAGTAAAATATTGCGAAGGGAAAATGAATTTAAAAATTGGCAATGAAGAAAAAAGGAACCAAGAATTCAGAGACGTAATGGTGGAAAGGATGATGTATTACTTATCTTTTATATAAATTTATTGCGATAAAAATAAAATATATAGATCCAATGTGTATACTATATATCTGTATAGTCATATGGAAATATTAAAATTGAGGAAATTAATAAGTAAACGGATCCTTCACCTAATTCACGTGATAAAATTAAAATGACAATTCAATTTAACTTAAATCCCAAGGTATCAATTCATGTCACACTCATCCTTCCGTACTCACTCATTTCATAAATGTTCGATCGTAGGTTAATCATTTGTGATGGTTGCTGCTATTGTCCTTGTATTAAATATTGGAGCTCGTCCGAATGTAATTTTTTGATAGCCGTCGTCGCCGAAGTTTACCAATTTCCTTTTTAGCCTGTCTGCATTGATATCAGATTTATCAATAAATTCGAATTTTATCTTTATGTCGGTATTGTTACAAGAGCATTGTCGCTTGGGAATTTGGCTAATTTTATACATTAGAAAAAGTACAAAAACTGTTAATATTGTACTAATACGATTGAAAAAACAAAGTTATTAAATGCGTCGAGTCACCTGTCGTGCCCCGGAATTAAACACACGTGGGTCTTGTTTTACGTTTTACAGGCAAAAGGAAAGAGCTAATACGATTTAACGCTTAACTTGTACGTCAAGTTAACAGGAAGGGATATTCATTTCGACTGTCTCGCTCTACGCTGGATATTTCTAAAACTAATTACTATGGTCAGTTCGTAATCCCTTACGAAGAGTATTATTTCTCTTCATTTTTGACTTTATCACCCCACGCGTTACTTGTGCTTACAACGGAGAGTAAATGCATTTAGTTTGACGTCTTTACAAAACTTGAGTGTAATTTTCCGAAATTTTTTGCGCGCTGCTCTTTTAAGATTCCTTCTCTAATTAAGAAAATTAGCAGTTGGCCAAAGGAAAAAGAAAAATGCTTTCGCCAAGTATCCCGTTGTGGTATTAATTATTTAGACTACAAAATTAGCTAAATGGCTTTGCAAAATACAAATTCATTTTCGTGCGTCAGGCGCACTTGACGCGGTATAGAAAGTGATGGCGAGTGTAATTAGTGAATGTGCAACTCAAAAATAGTCAAGTATTTGGTGAGCATCAGCAAAGAGCTAAAAAATTATAAAGATAATATTCCTAAGATTTACGTAAAATTTATGTACACGTAAAACGGCAGCAGGTTAAATTTATTTAATGAAATGTAGTCGGCAGAAGCCTTAACAAGTAAATGCTATTTAACTTGGTTGAGATTATACGCGAAAGTGTCGAGCGTTATTTAATAATTGACTTTGAAAGAGGAAATGGCCACGGGACGACGGCGGCGGTTTTCCCAAAGTTATGGGTTTATTAAAATTTCGCGCCACGTGTCTCCGTGCACGAGTTCGAGACGCACGACACGGACATCGCAGCAATAATATCTCTTGATTTATGGAATTTCCTAATGGTGTCGCGTAACAGTTCGCTGTTGCGGTGCTGTGACAAAGGATAGCGAGTTTGCGAATTGTTGAAACTCTGCGAGATGCGAATTATATAATATATTAATAACATACGAAATTATCTATTTCGCTTCTAGCGTAATTTAAGTTTACAACAAAAGTGTAAAAGCCAATCATGAAATTAAGAAAACATCGGTCATTTGAAAATTCGTGCATTACTTGTGGAACTGACGAAAACAATATTTTTTTTTTTCGAATTTTCATATTTCCTCCATTTCTCATCTTTTCTTTTTCTTTACCTTCATGTCCCTCTTCTCCTTAATTGTCGTTAGTTTATTGCGTGCGTGCGCTGCGCATGACGGCTGGGCCTCCCGTCGTATCCTTTAGAAAATCGTGTGCTGGAGTTATGACTATATATATTTATTATTTGCCTCGTTTCTTCCCATTTTTGTTATCAGGTCCGTTCTTTAACGCAAACCCTTGCGCAATCCATTACACAGTGTTTGCGTGATAGGTGGTTAGTGATATACAGTACCTGGACGCTATGGTGCTGTGGAGCATTGCCAGTGGATTATGATGGTGGTGCTAGTCGCTTTCTATGCTCGTACCTACAACGTATCGTTTCACGTACCTATTAATTTTATTACCATGCAAGCACATCCGTCAAGAACAAATAGGATATGTCTTATGAGCCTTAAGATAAGCTTCATATACATAATTTGTATGGTAATCAAATTTTAAAAAAAAACCGTTACACGTACGAAGTATATATTATCAAAATTAACAATTGGAAGCAATATACTGTTACGTCCCACGCCTTACAGTTATTTACAGTCAAGTAGTCAAATGTTATTTCCAGATCTACGAAGATACATTTTGAGAGATTATAACAACTTTAAACTATGAAATTGCATGGGTCTTGTATTAACACGTGGACGTGCTGATTCAGTAGACCGAATCAACGAATCATCCCTTTTATTAAAAATTTCATATACATCGGTTGATCTTCAGGATCCAGCTATCGTAATAATACATTTATATTAAGAGATTTTCATTTAGTGATTCCGATATATCTCATACATGTGGATATTGAATTTTATATTAACGGCGTTATACGTATGTAATTTAGCGTGGAAAATTTGTCAAATTTCAATAAGGGGTTTACGTGAAATTGCTTTCACGAAATATTATATTAGAATGACGCAATGATTTTTTTTTTGGCAAATTGAACACTTTACTGTTTAATAATGTTATTTTTCAAATTTATCTAAATTTTCATACTTTGAGTCCACTCTTTAAATATATTCTTTATCGAATATCAAAAATTTATCTCGTGCACTTTTTTTAGCCTGTCGAAATTTGTATTTATTGCATCATATTATATGCACGGCGACTGCAGTCCGAGTGCATGTAATGCATTCGTAATTGACTGAAAGCCGAAATAGGACGTTACTTAATTATTCAGGGAGTCTAAACCGAACAGAAATTCTCTTCAGAACCGTCATTTGCTAGTTACTAACTAGATACTGGATACTAGCCTCTAGGTACGCGCTTCAACATATTCCTAGCTAGTATCAGTACTGATATGTTTTAATGTTTAATAAGGGCACTGATAACAAATATACCTGCCGAATTTTTGATACGTTCATCTTCGATACAGAGAATATTGAGTGGCCCCGTTTTTCCACCCTATCATTTATGCATACAGCGATCGTCTTTTTTCTTCTATTTAATCATCTCACTTTCTCTTCTCTTCTCTACTCTGTACTGCCCCTATCTTACTGTACAGAAAAACTGAGACCCTAGGTTTCTCCTTGCGTCATCCATAATCGATCTTGTGGCTGATATCGTTTATACCCATTTTTTTTCTTTTTCCTTAAAAAGCGTTTCCTAATTTCTTTTAAATTTACGGGGTATCTCAAAAATCGTGTAACCTAATAATAAATTTAAGATTCACGTAGAACAAAAAGTGTCGCTCCTTTCTCAGTTCAGAAGAGAGACGAGCATATAAGGAGATAACATTAGATATGTATATATCTAAATTTACATTTTGATTAAGGGGTGGGCGACCTATTTAACTACGCTATTGCCGCGGCCTGTCTGCGGTTCCAGATTGGTCCCCACAATTTGTATATACATATATACAACCACAACATGCATTATCGTGGTCAGCCTGGCAACGTAATATTCCACTTTTTTACGTTATTTTTTTCGGACGATTGCCGAGCTGCGATAATAGCTGTTCCGGGAATGGTTGCGGTACGCCACTAAATAGTTTGCCGGCGGTAAATTCGACTAGGGAATATCGAACTTTCGGTAACCACGATAGACCCTTAATGACCCTCTGTTTTGAATGAGGATAATGATAAAATTTCATTTATATTGAAAAAAAAAAAACATTTTTGTTTTGGTTATTACGATTAAACAGATGAATAGAGATTTTGATAAACGAATGCTACTAGAATAAAGAAGTGGATTATCATAACGCAATGTCGTACGTATAATTTTTTACTTGAAATTAATGACTGTAACAATACACGAATCTTTATATCCGACTGTCGGATAAAATAGTATTTTATCTATCTAGTACAAATGAGTATAAGATTGATGCGTACGTGATTGGTGCACAACACGTCACACTCGTGTTTTATACTCATTCGTAATAGCTAAATATCAGTTTTTCTAAAAAATGCTCTAAGAAAACACCGTCTGGCCTTTCTTTTTTTTACGACAGATGGCACTGTTAACTTGCTTTAAAAAATATTTTTTAACAGGGTTCCCCTTCCTTGAAAATATTTTATAAGCCTAAGACGTCACTATCATAAATTTTAAGGTAATTTTATAGTTGTTTATCCAAAAAATAATATTTTAAGGTGCCCTCCGGCGTGACACATTACGGGGTATTCTTTGATTATTTGTTACAAGAAAAATATTATCTTTTGATTAAATATGTAAGCAATGTGTCATATATCATACTTACGTAATGGATATCGATCACGAATCCGTGATAAACTGTTTGGCTTGAGGTTATCGGAGATGAGGCCGATTTTCATAAGTTTACTATGTCTCGTATAGGTGTCTGATCGATGTTAAGATCGTACAGGAAAGAAGTGATTGGTTTGTTCTGTAAAACAATTATCACGAGACTTCCGTCAGTTTGACAAAGAACGGAAGTGTTGCCTTTCCTTGTGGATTGAGGAGTTGGAAGCAAGGAGAGAGATAGAGAAGAGAGAGAAAAGGGAGCTGGGGAGTGAGTGAGGCTGACTTCGGTGTTACCGGAGGGTCGTGGTACAGCAGAGAAGGAGCTCGTCGAGAACCGGCCGTGAATGACACGTAATATCCGGCTAGGTTGTTATGGATAGACTCAACCGATATAAGGTTGAGCATCGTTGTTTCCGAGGATGGATATACTGGTAAGATGGGGCTACAAAGTTTTTTCCCTCCTTTTCGAAAGGGCGCCACCGAAAGAGCACCACCCTGAAAACTGATACGGCCCTGACTCCAGCGAAATTTGCCCGGTCGACTACAATACGTAAAGATATAACAGTGTGAGGTCCGACTAGGTTAGCTTACGTTAGGTTACGTTTAATTGGGATGGGTTAGTCTCTCCTATCATTAGGAACAGCCGTAGTTACGGTTTCCGTCCCTTTGTATCGCGAGTGGCGGCCCGTTACCACGCAATTGCCACACGCGTCTCCGTAACAACATTGTAGACTTCAAAGGTGTCCAAAATCCAAACTGCGCCTTATCCAATGTGCCGACAAGAAGGTATTACGTGCTCCTTTCCTAATTTCACTGAACACTTCAAGTCCCTTTACCATCGCGTAAAGTCCTTTATGTATATTCCTATAGGATTATCCGTCCATTTGTCAGTAGGCAACTTTATTTTTCTTTTCTTGTCCCTAGGGACTCTTTTTTTTTTATTCCTTCCACAAGGGATACTCGAAATTTTTCTTACCCAGGAAAGACCTTAGCATTTCTACCAGAAGCTCTCTGCTTGCAATCTGTTGCTCTAACAGGATTAATTAGTAAGCAGTCCGTCTCGCTAGCACGGGTGCAAGTGTTGGCTATAAATGCTGGTGTAGAAGCAACTAAGAGTGCCCGGTGCCGTGTGCGTGTATTTGTGTTTGTTGCGTGGCTCTGTTATATATGGTACACGTGGTAGGTATGCATGTACGTTTTATGGATAAAAGCTGAAGCCGCGACCGAGGTTTAATTACAAGCTTTCGTCAGAGCGCTCTAATTATGTTTACGATGATGAACCTCCCCCCTCCCCGGTTTGTTTAAGGGTTGGTTAACCTCCTCTTTATAGTGGTTTTAGCTGGGGGGAGGGCTAGGGGGTAATTTAACCGGGGATTGTTATACCATCAACCCCTTGGATATCGAACCTATCTATTATTCCATTCGAGATGTCTCTCATCCGCGCAAGGAATACGGTATTAGTGTCTTCTAAGCTGCGGATGATGGCTGACGCCTGGTAAAAGGGTGGTGACGTAGGGGATGGGAGTTGGCTTTGAAAAATAATTTTAACTGAGACATCCTTTAAGATCGGGGAAATATCCAATCGGATCTCTCCCTTCTATAGACTTCCTGATTCTTTCCTCGGTAAATTTATCCGCTTTGATAGACGGTGGTTGCAAATAGTCGATTAGGGATGACGGGTTTTTCAATTTTGATTAGAACCACGAGGGCAGATGTATTTGAGAAGGGACGATGGAATCCCTTAATAGATTTAGATCAGTCGAGTGGCTTGGTTACTTTTTATCTGGGCTCTTTTCTGTATTCGTGTGTAATTCATTTTTTTTTTCTAGGGCGCACTCTACATCTGTTTATACATGTATACATATATGTATATGCATATACGTACAATCGTGCCAATTTCCGGAGAAATCGAAGCGACACGAATTTTCCGATATTCTCACTCAATGTCCTAGCGTATATATATACGCATAGGTACCTTGTGTATTTAATGTACGTAGAAACGTATCACGTAGAAGGATATATGGTCGTGCGAGAATGAAACCGAAGAGAAGTTATGACTTATGAAAAAAAAAGAAGAAAAAGTAATAGATTAACCCCTGCTCCGATATGACTTTCGAACAATTGCTTAAGGTAGCTATACCGCTTCACGCTAGTCAAATCAGTGCTAAATTTTTAATAACGTTTTTACAATTTCTAGTGGTCTAATTAACAGATCCGAGGAGTTACACACGTAACAGCATTAGTTCTTAATATATAAGTACATTCACAGCCGTGCTTCGAATAGAAAATCAAATATTATATCCAAATGTTCGATGTCATATTTTGTCGTGCAGTTTTTTTTTTTTAAGAATGGACCATAATAATAGTCCAATTATGACGAGCAATATCTCATTTGGAATATTGGGAAATCTTTGATCGATTGACCATCGAGATTTTGTATAATGTTAGTTGTTCAAAAGTTACAGCCACTTGTATCCCTGATATTAGGTTAGGATAGGTAATCAAATGGTTGTATCTTTTGAGCTTTTAATATTATCTAAAGTCTAGATCGCCAATCAATTAAGAATCTTCCAATAATCAAAATGAGATATTGCTCGGCATAATTGGACTATTATTATGGTTTATTCTTTAAAAAAACTGCACGAAAAAACATAACATCGGACATTTACATATACCAGTCGGCTTTCTGTTTGAATCATGGCTGAGAATGTATTTATATATTAAGAACTAATTCTGATACCTGAGTAACTCCTCGGAACTATTAATTAAACGACCAGAAATTTTAAAAACGTTATTAAAAATTTAGCACTGATTTGACTGGTGTGAAGCAGTATAGCTACCTTAACTGTGAAAAGCAGTGCAATCTTTCCCAGACGCAGTGCGACGCGATCAGGAATCTCCCTATCGATTAACGTTAACGATCCTACCGCCTTTCAATTGCGAATTACGAACGTGGACGGATTATCGGACCCTGCATATCGACGACGGCCAATCCCAATTCCCTAGGATAATTTCCTAGGCTATGATAATCTACCGTGTTAATTAGCCTTTATTCTAATTAAAGCGGCGACTAACGTTAATGGGGAACGAGAAGGATTTTGCCGATGGAAGTGACCACCTGTTGTATTGGCCACACTGACCGATACGACCAATTCCTTTGATCATACAATAAATTGGCTTATGTTATGGAAATAAGGAAAAATCTCTCTAGGATCTAGTTACTGTTTGTACTATACGGGCTGGAATGAATGAGTAATTTTGAAATTTGTATACGAGGAGGTTGCAGGCAATCGATCACCTGCGAATCGGACGCAAAATATTATCTAGACAAAATTGGCATTTTTAATTTATCATATTTTGCAATTATTGGATTGGAAATGTGTAAAAAAAAAATATTCATAACACGAGCAAGAGAATTTGGGAAATTTTTAGTGTATTCTTTAAGCTTTGTTGTTCTGTACGTTTCTTTCTGTACCTTTCTTTGATCATTACTATTATTCAACATTTTTCCTCGTTGTTCAAGAGAGTCCGCAGTAGTTTCGAGTGATAGTGGTCGTCAGTACGTAAGCGAGTCTACAGTTTACTTTAGAGACAGGCTTTTATGTTCTGGGAACATTTTTATTCCGCTAAAATCCTAGCACGCCCGGATACTCGAATGACCTAGCTTTTAGCCCAGAAATTGGAGAGATGGCGGATGAGAGCGGATGAACGCGAATGGACCTGGATGAATTCGGATGAGAGCGAGGAGACCAAGCGGTCGGTGTAGGATGAACGTGGATAAAAGTGGGTGTGGGAAGTTCGGGAAAAAAAAGTATTAGGACATTTTACGTAACGAGCTAACATTATTTTGCTGCGTCTCTCAGCGTCTCACGTTCTGGACCAAAGCGACGAGGACGTAATTAACAAGAGTTCGCGGGCCGGGCGCCGATTAAGGGATGACTTTTTTTCAGCCCCTGATCCTCCTCTGGGTTGTCTGATCGCTGGGGAAGACGGGGATGAGAATGGCTGGAGGATTTGGAGGCAAAAAGACAGACGACATATAAAAGAAATTTTTTTTTTGATAAATCACAGCACTTCTGGATGATGTTTACTTTGGACCAGATCGGAGGGCGAATGTCTTGTTTATTTATCTTTTCTCTCCTTTTCATCACTCTCGTTTTCGCAATTCGGGGAACAAAAGAATTTCACTCAGCTGCTAGGTGGGTATTAAGTGTCTCTCTAAGGGATTTTACAAAGTCCGTAAGAATTTTTAATGATTACCAATGTAGTGTCCATTGGAAGTATGTAATTTGACGTAATATTTGTTTTTTCTTTTTGTGCTTTCAGTTCAATGCGATCCAAGATTTTTGCCGATCGTCCCGCGATTACTGCCCGCCCGGTCTACCGGGAGTACCCGGGCTTGTGGGTCCTCGGGGAATCCCTGGCCTTCCGGGGATACCCGGGCCCGTGGGCCCGACTGGCTTTCCCGGACGTCCGGGCGTGCCGGGACCGAAGGGCGAGGCAGGGGCACGTGGTCTCGACGGAAGAGACGGTGTACCAGGAGAACCAGGACTCGATGGAATACCCGGAAGAAGCGGCCTAGACGGAATTCCGGGTTTAGACGGAATGCCGGGACGCAATGGGATACCTGGAAAACCTGGAACAAATGGGACGGATGGTAAGAACTTTTCTTTTATTGGTTCATTTATTTTTTTTCCCTTGATTTTGAATGGAGGACAACAAATTTAAAAAATAACGCTCTACTCGACTGGTCGTTATAGAAAATGTAAACGTTTATTTTTTGTTCCGCGTGTCTTTAATTTTGATAAATAAATGAAATTCTCACGAGCACAGAAGAAAAATCAAGAGAACTATATTATATACGTAAAGTATTTTTTTTATTTTCTTCCTTTTCATGTCTACCCCTTCTTTATTACTACTCGCATATACCAATCCGTTTTGCACCACCCATAAAACACAGAAGACTGTATGCATATATGTATATTGATTTGAATAGAGAGGCCACCCTTCTTCCCGCTTGCCAGATCCGCATCTCGATTTCTATTCTTTTGGGAATATCTCTGCTTACATAAATCCTCCTCTCCTTTTATGATATTCCGTTATTTCCACGATTTCTTGAATCTTTGATGACACTTTCCCATGCCTATGGGTTATTCCTGGACATCGGTCATTCATATGGACCATATCTCGAATTCGTTGAATCATTCCCGCATACCACAAAATGTCCCTTGGACTTTGCGCATATCCCAGGGACATCTGAGGGACATCAATATGAATTTTGTGTTGCGTGGGTTTTTTCATGAAATTTCTTTGCTGATTTTAGACTTGCATATCTACTATTGTAACGTGGCGTCAGGCCGGCACATTACAAAAGACATGGCAGTGCCTTCGGCCTCCATCTCCAAGGATTTCGTAGGTCCGGGTTTCGGGTGGGGAAAACGGGAGAAAATAGTGGACCGATGGCGGAAGCACCGGGGCTCTTTTAGGTTGAGAGCCCGCACGCAAGGGGCGCCCAGCAGCCGGGACGCACTATCGGTATCCCGAGAACTTAAGCCGACAACGGTCCGAGGCTCCGCGGAAGGGCGCTGGAGGGGAGGATTTCTTTATTTTTGAACTGCCGAGGAGAGTCATACAGAGGAATCGTTTCCTAGGAATCGGTAGTCGCGGAGAGAGTCTGAACGAGGACTCGAGTGCGGATGTACGGCATACGTCGCAATGTATATTTTTTTTCAAAAACACCATTGTTTATAATAAAATTGCATGTATTCTTATCGATATATTTATCAGCCGGCATGAGATATTGAAAAAAAAAAAACAGAAAAAACATTGGCACCCCTATCGATTTCCAATGAAACTCGTAAAATATATAAGACAGATGGACAGTTCGTTCGACATATGACACTTTGCGGTACCTACATGAAATTTATTGTCAGATAATCTATCGAAAAGTTGTAGAGATTCTACCAGTCACAAATACCTATAAAATGTCAGTTACGTATTATTTTAAAAATTTACACGGTTTAACACTTGAATTTGATTTCGATAATTTTTCGAAAGAAAATATTATATTACATTCAACTGGAATATGTTGATCTCGACAGACATTGTCGATCAGAGTTTCCCTAATCTATATCGCGTTGCTCATCATGTAGCATGGGATACAGGTATTTACGGTTTTTGGAAATTCCGTAGATGCAAAATGATGGGATTGTCATAGTTGCCATGAATTGTGTCGGCTGTTACAAGTCTATGAGTTGTAGACTTTTCAAGTCTCATAAATTTGCAGTCCAGACTCTCTCTCTAGATTTCAAGTCATCCTTCAGTCCATTATTGAATGATTGTCAGATGCGACGCTGATTCTATTCTATTGTCCTAGGACGTAGGTCGTCGCCTAACCCGATAATGAAATCTAATGACTTAAGAGCCTTACGTTGATGAATGTTACAATGCACTGCGGAAAGTTACTATTGATAACTATAGGAATTACTTCCAGTCGTACAATTAACGTTAATAATTGACTATGCATTTTCGTAGTGCAATTGCAAAAAACAAACCGAACTGCACCTGACCGAAAATTAGTGTAAAATTGAACGCGAGCAAATTGTATCGGTAGTAATCGGAATGCGGATCAGTTCGTAAAGGTCTATTGGCCTGGAATTTAATCAAGAAGAGTAGGGAGTGTTGTTATCATTGATTACAAACGTTTTCCCCATAGAATTGAAGTGACTTTGGTATCAGAGAAAATGGAGTGTTGAGAATATGTAAATTTTTGGGAATTTTAGGTAAACCTGGACTCAGAGGACCCGTGGGACCTCCAGGACCTCAAGGACCTCGCGGTAAGTTTTAATTATTGTCTATGTATGAATTACTTTGTAACAATCCGGGAAAAAAATGATTATGTATAATCAGATTAAAGAATTGCCTTTGTACGATCATATTTGATAAGGTGATAAGATATACAATTTTACAGGAATTCACTATAAAAATATAGTTATCGTAAATAATATTCTTAATAAATAACTTGATCCATAAATCAGTTCGTTACAAATATTTTAGGCAATTTTATTTTTATAAAAATTAATATTTCCATACAGTGTATGTTTCGTACACTTTTACAATTGATAAGATAGAAAGAAATTTTTTATCCCACGTATAGTTTTATATGATTATATGTAATAATTTTTACCTGGATCGTAAAATGTAACGTATATTTATGCAGTGTTAAAAAAAATGAATTACAAGAATGAAAAAGAAATAATTAGCAAAACAAATTGCAAATTCAACGAAGACATTTGCAAAATCTATTTCCGGTTTGTCTATCATTATCTTCAGCTTGTTTTTTTCTCATAAAAGTTCTGTCAGCTTTTTCACGCTTGGCAACCGCGAAACTTTCGAGCGTTGGGATGATTCAGCGGAAACCCACGCCGGAAGTCACTGTTTCCAATAACTCTAACACGTATATCGCTTCTACGGCTGGAGATTCCGTCTGTTCCCGACGCGTTTCCAGGCAGTTTTTTTTTGTCGTAACACGGTATCTGGCTATTTGCAAAGCATACATTCACGTGGACATATTACATAAATCTTCTAGAGGGTGTCTAGCGAATTTCCACGATAAAATTATACTTGCGCTTGGAAGAAATTGCAATATGCATTTTCGCGTTACTTTAAAATTTTCGATCTGTAAATTAATACAAGTTTCGCGATTTCTCTTGGCGATTTCTCCATTTCTTTAAATATGATTTAAAAAAAATTCGAACCAATGTACATGTACATTCGAACCATTATACATGTACACAATTGCCACTTTCAACAGTTTAACCTACTTTTTTTTTCGACTTTGTTTTAAGTGCTCTATGAATTTTCGTTAATTCTCATAATGTGGCCAAGATTGGTAATTCGTTCGAAGCACTAATTACCCTTCCGACAAACTTGAATACGTTGTCTAGGGTGCGATTACTGGATCTCTGTATAGTTCTCCACAGTTGATTAAACCGGCTAGGGGATGATTGGGAGGTAACGACCCTTCAACTGGGTTCATATTTCGTTTCTTTACCATCACACACACACTCACGAATTAACTGACTACTTGAAATAACAATTTAAACGTCGAATAGTTTCTACATTGACAATTTTATAATATACAGGGTGTTCCGAAACTACCTGACCCGGTGGGTATGGCGGTGTTCGGGAGGCTTCACTGATCACGAAAATGACCTCCTTTTGGCCGATAGGTCATAATTTTTCAATGGGAGCAGGTCAAAGTTGACCAATCAGAGGGAGGCATCAAGAGAAACGTAGGCACCTGCGAACTCTGAGTTTTCTTCCCTCGCTTTTGTTTCTCGGTGGCTTCTTTCTTGTTTCCAATACGCATGTCTTCGGCTGACGTCATCCTGCCCGAAGCCACCGAGAAACAAAAGCGAGGGAAGAAAACTCAGAGTTCGTAGGTGCCTACGTTTCTCTTGACGCCTCGTTCTGATTGGTCAACTTTGACCTGCTCCCATTTAAAAACTAAGAGCTTCCGGACAAAAGGAAGGTCATTTTTGTGCACAGTGAAGCCTCTCGAACACCGCCATACCCACCGGGTCAGGTAGTTTCGGAACACCCTGTATATATAATAATTTTCGATTAAAACATTAAATATAAAAACAATTATCACTTAATACCAATCCTTTTGTAGAATCACATTTTTCCTTTACTCAAAACATCATTAAACTGTATTCTAGTTAAAAAATTTTATTTTCAAAGTATTTACGTATAGCAAACATCCTCTGCGAATATAACACAATATACATATATATATATACAGGGTGAGTCGTTTAACTTGAGACAAAAGAATATCTCAGGATGGAAGTATTTTACGAAAAGAAAATGTTCGAAAAAATTTCGTTCCGTGTCGAGGGGGGAAGAAATTGCTGTGCCGTTATTTTTTTAAAGTCTTCAAGAAGTCTTAAAGAAGACAGTGCTTGATATAATAATTCATACTGTCTTAGCAATTTATTGGTTTCCCCGTTTACGTTCCGCGCAATGTTTTTTTTATATATATTTTAATAGTTTAATTATATGAATTCAGTGTCCAGCGATTCCGGTCTGTAGGATATTGAAAATTATAACCGATCTTCACGATTTCAGGTCCGACCGGATCGCGAGGCCGTGCTGGCACTGCGGGTCAAGATGGGAAGCCAGGAACTCCTGGAATTCCTGGAATTGTTGCCTGGAAGATCAAAAGCAACGACACGTCTGTCGACACATTGTTGATATCACCCTCCATCCTTGGTAAGTCTATCAAGAATCTGTGAAGAGTGGGAAATGAATGTCTAATAAAAAAAAAATGTCGGAACATTTGAGTTGGCACGCATACAAAATATACATTGTGTCAAACATTTTTAGCCGATAATTACTTAATTTGCTGAGTTATCATGAGACTGTTCTTTTCGTAAATGTTACTCGGACGTGAGATTGTCCCGTATAACAGAAATCAGAGATAAAACGAAAATATCAACAAAAAAAAGTGACCAGCTCCTATCGCGTAAACAAGCAGATGCTTTTCTGGGGAAAAAACACCGCTAATCGAATCGCAACTCGACGAAGCAGAAAGTCACGATAACACAAGAGCGATTATAACTACTGTTTCTACGATGGTGTTATCTTGCTTCTTTTTTAATGCACGCTTCTTTCTCAAAGTTAATTTGCAGGGTCATTGCGACTAAAATTGTGTCTGTGCCTTCGCAATCAGAGAGTCGTCACTGAACGATAAAGAGAAAGGAGAAATAAAGCTCAAATGAAGATATTCCCTAATTCGTTCTTGATAATTTCATAAAAATTGCACCGTGCTATTAAAGTATATTGACATTCCATTGGTATTTCAGTTGTTTAACATTCTTTAAAAGGCTGCGGAAACTGATGGATAACCCCTTGGGTAAGGTTGGTGGAAAAAATGAAAAGAAAAAGGAAATAACGATAATAAATAAAGATTACGCAAGTAGAGAGAGTCGAAGATGCATTTTGGAGATAATAAAAGGGGGTGGGATTTCTGTATATATCTTGCGAGTCAGTAGAAGGATATTGGACGTGGCACTGGGTGAGCGTGGGGGGGGGGGGG